TCCTGGAAGGCTCTCGGATCCCCAGAACACATTTTGAAAACTGTCTTTGTAGATCAAAGAATCCATTCATAAATCAATTCTCAGTAGTCAATGTAACGAATGGTGTCTTTGGATTTGACTTTAATTTGTCTCAATAATTTGTTTCGAAGGACCAAAGAAAAAAGCACAAATAGAATAGCATTTTTTAAGTTACGAAAAATTCTTGTGTGCAAGAACTTTCCTCATGTCCAAAAATAGTAGGAAAAAAGGAAAACAAAACCAGAAATGACTATTTTATAAAGTTAGTTGAATGTAACTGATATTGAGCTACACAGCAGTAAGTAAGGATGAAGAAAAACAGTGGATTTTGTTGGTGTGAAGCCTGTAGTCCTAATGTTCAAACAGTAAAGCAATAATAAAAATCAACTTCAGACATATGCCATTTTCATTGATCTTAACTTTCTTTAAAAAATTTATGGAGAGTGGGAAAATAAAGGAAAGAAAATATAAGGAAATAATTGGGTAAAAACAGAGTCTTGATTCCTTGAAGCCTAAAGAGCAGAAAGAACCTATCCAGCTTCTCTTTTATACCTTGGCTAGCATATTACCTTAGGGCCCATTAGGATGTGTTAAACTACAGAAGTACGTTAAGCTCCTAGAAAAGACACTGTAAGTGAAAATAGTATAATCTAAAGTTGATTTTTTTTCAGAAAAAGAATGCAATAAAGAGAGGTTACATTTTTAACCAAGAGCTTAATGTCTTAACATTTTCTTTCTTTATTTTTTAAGATTTTATTTTTCCTTTTTCTCCCCAAAGCCCCCTGGTACATAGTTGTATATTTTTAGTTGTGGGTCCTTCTAGTTGTGGCATGTGGGACACCGCCTCAGCATGGCCTGACGAGAGGTGCCATGTCCACGCCCAGGATCCAAACTGGCGAAACCCTGGGCTGCCGAAGTGGAGTACGTGAACTTAACCGCTTGGCCATGGGGCCAGCCCCTTCCTTAGAGTTTTGAAATTTATCAAACTACAATATTGGGAGAAATAAAACAAATCTCCCCAAAACAACTGTAGACTTGTTTGTCAATTTTTGCTTTATATATATTGAAGCTATATTATTAGGCACATACAAATGAAACTGTTATATTCTCCTGTTAAATCACACATCTTATCATTAAGAAAAATCTCCTTTCTCTCTAGAAATGATATTTATTGTAAAGTCTTATGCTTTGGATATGTCTCTCATAAGCAGCATCAATTGGATTTTTAAATCCAGTCTGACAATCTGTCTTTTAACTACAGTATTTAGATCTTTTAATGTGATTTACTGACATATTTTGATTTATATCTAGTATCTTACTTTGTGCATTTTCTATCTGCTCTACCTGTACTATGTTTCTTTTCTCCTCCTCCTTGCTTTCTTTAGAATCACCCTAGGAACTTTAAAATCACTCAGAGATTCTGATTTAATTGGTATAGGATGGAGTCTAGGCATTAAGATTTTTAAAATCTCCTCAAGTGAATGTATTGTATAGCCAAGGGTGAGAACAGGTTTTAGATTTTTTTTTTAAATTTTAATAATCTCATGTTTTTTCATTTTACTAATTTTAATATTTTACAGTTTCTATTCTCTTAGAAAAACATATACTCAACTTCTGAATAACCTTAGCCTTTTCCCAGATCATACAAATACTTGAGAACATTTAAATTCTATTAACCACACAACTTAACATTAGTCTTTTGGTGTATTCTGTTTTATTAATGTTTGTCTACATTTTTACTAACAGCTATTTTTTGGCTCTTCGGTTCCTTCTTTTACCTCAGACTTTCCATCTGGGATCATTTTCCTTTTGCCTGAAATATATCTTCAGAATTTCTTTTAGTAAGGGTTTGCTTTCCAATTCTTTCCTCTCCGCCTGCAACTCCAATAAGAAGTCAGACCTTCTCATTTTATCTGCCATGTCTTTAACCATTTTAATTTAATTCTTTGTTTATTGTATTTTCTTGTCTGTATGTGGCATTCTGGATAATTTCATTTAATATGTCTCACCCAGTTTAATAATTTCCTCTTCAATTCATGCCATACAATGAGTTATTTATTTTAATTATTTTATTTTTCACTTCTAGAAGTTCTTTTTTTTAATTTTGGCTTTCCAAATGGTTAATAAATCAAAGTTTCTAGTCCTGGCAGAAATTTTCAAGCAACTCTTTTCTAAGAAATAGTTTATTTTATAAACTGGGACTCATAATTCTACTATCTGAGGCCTTTATAGATCTGTTCTTGCTGTCTGCTGGCTTTAGATCATGGTATCTTTTTTCCATACATACTTGGTAATTATTTTTTACTGTGAGCTGTTTATTTTTCTTGAAAAATTATTTATGAAGACTCTTTGAGCCTAAGTATTCATTTTTGCTTCTGTCAGGCAACCTGGGATACCACCAGTGTAGGACCACTTTTAACTAAATGAATTCAGGGTTTGAAGTTTTTTGGACCACTCTGGTGATGTGAATTTGGACTATGAGATTATGCTTGGGATGTCCTGTAATTTCAACTTGTCAGGGTCTGTCACGTTCTAGGTGAATGGGGTAGATTTATTCTGGTTCATCCTTAAAGTGAGAAGGTAACTCTTTGGATCTTCAACTCTGTCAGTGGAGTATAAAACCAAAGTCCAGATTTGCCAGTTTAGACAAAAGCTCTCAAGGCAAAGAAGCTTTGTGCTCTGCCTACCTTTCTAGGTTCCTGCCAGTATTTGCAGTTTGGCCTTATCAGCTCTTTGGTGTTTTTAAGAATATTTACCCAACTTTAAAAAAAAAAGGCTTTCAAGTTTGAGAGATGAGTTGGAATATTGTGCTAGCCATATTCTAGTTTAACTTTTAAAAATTATTTTATTGAGGTCACATTGGCTTATAACAAGGTGTAAGTTTCAGGTGTACATTATTATATTTCAGTTTCTGTGTAGACTGCATTGTGTTCACCACCAACAGTCTAGTTTACATATGGGCCCCTTTCGCCCTCCTCCTCTGGTAATCACAAATCTCCTTATTCGTGTTTGTTTGTTTATCTTTCACATATGAGTGAAATCATATGGTATTTGTCTTTCTCTGTCTGACTTATTTCACTTAGCATAATACCCTCAAGGTCCATCCATGTTGTTGCAAATGGCAATGATGTTGCCTTTTTTATGGCAGAGTAGTATTCCATTGTTCTTTTAAAGTAGTATATATAAACAGATAAAATTAACTTAGTCTAAGTGGTCAGCATAAAATGAGTTTGTGACAACAGATCCAAAAGTTATGAAAGGATATTTAAAAACAGAAGTAGTGTTTCATTATTGTTCACTGATATGAAAGTATTGTATTATGTGAATACATTAGCTGTGCTAAGGGCAAAAATTGGCTCTGAATAATCTATTAAATGACTTTGAAGTTTCTTCAACAAAAAAGGCCAGGGAGCTAATCTTAAATGATCTTAACTGAAAGACTTTACTAATACATTAATATGTGCAATATATATAACATCGGAAGGAACTTAATGTTAGAATCAATTCTTCATTAAATTATTAAAAAATTAAAAACTACAGACTAGTGCTAGCACTACTACTAAATAATAAGGATCTAGCAGTGAATCTAATAATTATAATAATTTCAAAGTAGTGATGAGTAAATAATATTCTGAGATATGTACAGTAACTACAATATGATACCTAAATATCTCTGCTTTCTATAAGTGACAAAGTCATAGATACTGAATTTCGCTGCCTACATTTGTAAGAGAAGGATCTGTTAAATTTTAATTAGAAGTAAGTGAAAATAAAGACTAATTTTTTCTCATTCAAGTTCATGGACCCCTGAATTCTATTTATGGGCCTCCTAAAGGGACAAGGTCTAATGAACTAAACCAGCACAGGTTCATTTCACTTAGATAAAAGCGATCAAGTGGAAAGAAAATGATTTTGAAGGAATGGAGCACTTCCTTTCTAGGAAACCCATGGTGATCATAGGCTAAATTTGTAGCTCACTTCTAACAAGTATATAGGAATTCTCAGTAGGTATTGTTTACATTAACCACACCGCTGGTTCATATTACTCTTCATACATTTTGTTTTCCTCACTCACAATATTTTTCATATTTTAAAAATTGTATCTGTTTTTTTAAGGCACTTATATCCTTTTTGGAATATGGGCATTCTAGATATTTTCTACAAACAAAATTGTTAAAATACTGAATATAGATATGACTAAAATGACACTGAATTACCAGTTTTCTCAAGAACTACTTTCACATCAAGATGATTTTTACTGGTAAAGAATAAATCCTGACACCAATATTTGAAGCACCAATACTTCAAAATTCAACAACAAACATTACTACTTATGCAAATTCTCATCGTATATATTTACTTGGAGGAAAAGCCCCTTTTATTTGCAAGGTAAATGGTGATTAATGTGGTGGTTAGATATCTGGAATTAAAAAAATTGGTCTAAGCAAAGTAAGAATAAATCATTTAACAAAAGAAATAATTAAATAGTATAATAGGATCTTGACCTTTTTCTGAATAATACCAACTGAACTACTCTTCCTCAGTAAAGCTGAAGAATCTGGAAATTCCAGTATCTTGGCATCCAAACCGTATTTCAGAGGACCTTTCACTCACAAAATACAAAAACAAAACAAGCAATACAAAATCTTTGTCAGGTCATGTGTTCTAATTTTTGATGTGGAAATATAAGGGCTATCAACCTGAAAGTTCAAGTTATAAAATCAGAAATATAGATTAGATTTTGGAAGGCAATTTATAAAAGTTTATAATAAACAGCTATACTCAAATATATAGTTAAGGCTGTTTAGTTTAGGAGTTATTTTAATTTAAAATTATTTATCTAAACAGTATTTCAATTCTTTTACAAAAACTCCAAGTACTTTTAGTATCATTTTTAAGAATAGATTTAAATGTATACATATCTATAATTTGACAAACCTTTTTTGAATACCTATTGGTAACTGTCTGCCTCTGTTTATCAGATATCGAGTTTATGAGATATCAAGAGAGTCCTGACACCAAAGGAATTCAGTACAGTGAAGAAGACGCACATGCAAATATATAACGTGAAACAAAGCAATGACTGCATAGTAGAGCAGTGTGTAAAATGTTACACGAATAGAAGAAGACTGGTGGACAAGAAGGGAAACCCACAGCTGAGACCTGCCAGGATAAGCAGGCTTTTCCCAGGAGAAAATGGGGAGGGGAGAGTGGAGAATAAAGGGGTGGATTGTTGAGGTGGGTGACTGTCATTCCAGTCAGAAAGCACAGTAAGTGTAAAGGTGTTTCCAAATAGTGTGGACTTTCCATAGAATCTCTGAAACTCATAAAGTGCCTTTTGAAATATTATCCAGTCACTGATTTCACTGTATTGTAGTTCTTTTTTTAAGTCAACAGTGACACTTTGTTGTTTCTTCTGCCCTTAACATTGTTTTAAAACTCACTTTGAAATTTAAAAACAAACCAAAAAGTGAGCCTCTAATCACATTTCCTAGAAAACAGAGAAGAAAATATTATCTGAAATGGCTCTTTCATTGACTTATCCATGACTTGTAATCCAGTTCCACTACCATGAATAAGCACCTATATGTATATGGCAGTATTTTTCAAACTGACTTTCTTTTTTTTTTTTAAAGATTGGCTCTGAGCTAACATCTATTGCCAATCTTTTTTTTCTTCTCCCCAAAACCCCCCAGTACATAGTTGTATATTCTATTTGTAGGTCCTTCTAGTTCTGCTATGTGGGAAGCTGCCTCAGCATGGCTTGATGAGTCATGCTAGGTCCGCACCCAGGATCCAAATTGGCAAAACCCTGGGCCGCAGAAGAAGAGCATGTGAACTTAACAACTCAGCTACGGGGCCAGCCCGACTTACCTGTTTTGATAGAACAATAACAATGTAATTTCCCCCCCAAAATAGAAAACAGTTATTAAAATGGGAATAATAGTAGCACCTTCCTCAGAGTGTTGTATAAAGATTAAACGAGTTAACTACACATCATAGATGGGGACATGGAGTAAAGAAATAATAATTATCAAAAATTTGGTATAGTAAAAATGCTCTGGAGACAGAAAACAGAACTCTATCTTTACTTATGCTTTACTACCAAGTCATCTTAGAAGTTTTACTTATCCTTCTTGTGTATCAGTTCCCTCATCTAAAAATGAAAAAGTTGGAGTAGATGACCTCCAAAGGCCATTTTAATTATAAAATTTTAGATCAGTTCTTGACAGAATAAAGTATCACTCTCTTACCCAATTCAAACCTGTTTATATCAAATTCCAGCTGAAAATAATAAAAATGAACAAAAATTAAGACATTAGGAAAAAGGTTACTACCCAGTGAATTTTCTCAAGGGCCAAACTTTATGAAAATCTATGCTGTCAGATTGTTAATATATATCTAAGCAGCAAAGCTCTAAGGGACACCTTTTAAAATGTGCCATATATAGGATAAAAACTGGTGTAATTATGGCACTGTCAGATCCAATGATAGTGAGTCAGTCTTTCACTGTCTCAACCTAGAGGCAGAATAGAAAGCACTGTCACTTAGGATGTGAGGGTCGCTGCAAGAGGCTAGCAGTAGTTCTTAATCTTTTTGGGTAACAGACTTCTTTGAGTATCTGATGAAATCTATGGGGTTTTTCCCCCCCAGAAAACAATGCACATATATGACACAAATCACATTTTGATACAGTTTTGGGTGGTTCACAGACTCTGCTTGGATCATCTGAGTTTCCAAGCATAGGCAGTGATGATGAAGACAAGGGTTTATAGAACCATTGTCCTGGTCTGGTACAGTTTAGTTGTAAGGAACAGAAAACAGCTGAAGTAAAAGGCAGATTTATTTTAAATATGAAAAGATATCTCATGGAATTCAATTTTAAGAAGCACAGTTGGTCTTCATCGGAACAGAAATTAACATCAAATTCAACCAAAATAGACAATTTACCACGATCAAGCATATTCAATAGGAATGTGGTATAGGCACTGTAACTTCATTAAACAGTTTAATAAAATTTGTGGTCTACGGCAGCACTATTTATGTTCTCTGGAGACTGCTCTGGGGTATTTGAACACATTTTCTAAAGGTGCAGTAGGCTGTATGTAAGCCTTATATTTGAAAGCAATTTTTTTTTTAAAGATTTTATTTTTCCTTTTCTCCCCAAAGCCCCCGAGTATGTAGTTGCATATTTTTTTTTTAGTTGTGGGTCCTTCTAGATGTGGTGTGTGGGTTGCTGCCCCAGCATGGCTTGATGAGTGGTGCCATGTCGGCACCCAGGATCCGAATTGGTGAAACCCTGGGCTGCCGAAGTGGAGCGCACAAACCCAACCACTGGGCCACGGAGCTGGCCCCTCGAAAGCAATTTTTTGACATGCAAAATGTGATTCTGAAAGACTGAGCAATAAAAAAAAACCCTGTCATTATGTCTTATGAGAAACAAAAAAGGAATAGCTGAATTTACTAATGTTGGTAAGGCAAATATTTGGAAAAATTATTGTTCTAATAAGGAAAATTTATATAACAAGCCAAGAGGTTGATTAGTCAGGAAGCAAATGACTTTCTGAAGGACAACTAATTGAAATACTGTTAGACTGGGTTCTATTTTCAGCATATCTGCACTACCTCCCTTCATTTACATTCTGTCAAGTGATAAAACACACTGATTAGAAAACAGTTTGGCTAAAAGTTTATGCTTCCTCTACATTTTAACCTCTTTGAAACGTTCATTTACGTTCCTCAGTAAATTTTCATTTTGTTTCTTTAGAAAAATTTATGCAGAGAATCTTAGAATTGTATTATGTGAAAACATTTTTAAAACTTAAGAATTCATAGTCTTCTTTCTAACTTCATTTGACAGTTTTTCCTTTTTTACACAATAGAAAGTATTAAGAAAAAACCTTATTATATGTAAAAATGTATAGGCTTTCAAATGATAACTTTCTATTTAAATTTCCTATGCTGTGTTTTACCCAATATTGTCTTTGTTCTCTTTTCCAAAACAAGATCATATTTCAAAATCATATTTCTTAACTCTCTCCCCCTCAATTCCCAACCTGCTGGTTAAGTAGTTTAATAAGGAAATACAGGATTTTATTTCCTACATAATTTTGTCTGGCATGCTGCCAGTGTCAACAACAGCATCTTGAACTTCTCTATTAAGAGGGATCTGTAAACTCTAAGTAAAATTTTTTGCTTGTTACATAAGAAAACCTGGCAATATTTACTCAAGTGTGTACTTTACAACAGTGGTTTTATTTTCTGCTTTTTCTCTCCAAATCCCCCCAGTACATAGCTGTATATTCTTTAGTTGTGGGGCCTACCAGTTGTGGCATGTGGGATGCCGCCTCAACATGGCCTGACAAGCGATGCCATGTCCGCCTAGGATCCGAAGCAGTGAAATCCTGTGAAACCCCGGGCCACTGAAGCGGAGTGTGCGAACTTAACCACTCAGCCACCGGGCCGGCCCCTACAACAGTGTTTTTTTCAAAGTGCTCTCTATAGAACTGTAGGTATTTTCCAGACTCCATTCAAGGGCTAACAAAGGCATATATGGGAGATATGTGGAGGCTACAACTTCTGTACCCTTTGACCAGACTATAAAATGTTTCCTCTGAAGAAAACATTCTACGGTTAAAATGGTTGAAATCAATGATCTAAGCCTTATTTACTATCCCTGCTGGTTTGAAGTAGGGAAAGGGGATCAACAGATTTCCACCTCATATCTTTCTGAGGGAAAAAACAAGAAGAAAATGCATTTTTGAGAATATTTAATAGCACGGTCACTCCTTGAATTCATGATAGTCATATATATAAGAGAAATTATTCTAAAGCCAACTTTTAGGGCTGATAGATGACAAATAAGTGGGTAAAATTTATTACTAGATACCTTGGATCACATAATCATTAGTTCTATCTGTCCTCTTGTCTCAGTCATTTCTTCAAGGAATAGCAGAAAAAAATACTTAAAATAGGAAACTTCTGACTCTCATTGAAGGCTTATTTTCATTTATTTAGCCACTCCTTCTTAGCACTTTTCATATAATCCATTTCATTTCTATATGTATCACACATCTCCGAAATTCTGATTGCCAAACATTATTGGTTTTGATGGCAATGTCTAACAGCCAGACAACAGCTTCTCCTCCATATTTTGGTAGTAAAGAACAAAAAATATATTGCAGGGAGATTAAGTGTGGTGAGTAAAGGCTGCTTATGGACTAAATAATCTGCACTAAGTAGATAAATCAAGCTTTAACAATGAAAAGACATGGAGTTAACGATTTATATCTGAAGGGACAGTTTTTCCCAAAGTGCATTTCATAAAATAGCCTTGCAAGATGCTTCTTTGTCAATAGGTCAATGAATGTGGGAAATATATTCTCTTTTTCAAGAGCTACAGGCATGTAACCATATAATAGCTCTATAATTAAGAAACTCAATTTAATTTTTTTAGTTCAATGTTTTCCCAAATTCATTTTGCTGACAAATTCCTTTTTCAATTATGTATTACCTATTTTACAGAACTTCTCTGGGAAACTTTGAGATTGGTGATAAAGTAATAGAAACTTCATGGGAAAGGCATGAGTATCTAGTTTCTAAGCAAAACATCTGAAGTAGAACTGAAAAGATAACCCAGAAATTCCATGTACAGAGACCGGAGAGGGGTGTAAAGAATTAGGTGCAAAGATCTCAGCCATAGCTTCTCAGCCAATGCCCAGATTCCTGTTTTTTTTTTTTTTTTTTTTTTAGGAACATTAGCCCTGAGCTAACTACTGCCAATCCTTCTCTTTTTGCTGAGGAAGACTGGCCCTGGGCTAACATCCATGCCCATCTTCCTCTACTTTATACGCGGAACGCCTACCACAGCATGGCTTTTGCTAAGCGGTGCCATGTCCACACCTGGGATCCGAACCGGAGAACCCCAGGTTGCTATTTTTCAAATGAAGGTGAGGACACTTGGTGTCTAAACTGGAAGTTCCTCATCTTTTTTGGTTTTTTGAGGAAGATTAGCCCTGAGCTAATATCTGCTGCCAATCCTCCACTTTTTGCTGAGGAAGACTGGCCCTGAACTAACATCCATGCCCATCTTCCTCCACTTTACATGTGGGATGCCTACCACAGCATGGCTTGCCAAGCAGTGCCATGTCTACACCCGGGATCCGAACCGGCGAACCCTGGGCCACTGAAGCAGAATGTACGCACTTAACCGCTGAGCCACCGGGCAGCCCCAATGTTGCTATTTTTAAGCTATAAATATAAATAAGGATACAACTTAGAAAATTCAGTTAAAATGAATGCCCTCATTTTGATTACTGTTAAAAAATATAATATCTGAATTACAGACTTTTAAAGAAAGAAAATACAGTTTATTATCTTTAAGGATGTAAAGGAGTAAATACCAGCCTAACAATACTAGCCTCTGCATAACAACGTATTTTTTGTTAAAGGATAGTTTTAATGTATTTGAAAAACTTGTATTTGAAGTTAACTGATTTTGCATAACTGATAGAAAATATAATAAATATCTCATCTAAGGACAAAAAACTTCCAAAAAGAAAGCTATAAAACTAGTTATGAATATCTCAATAAATGTTCCTATACAGGAAAACTAAGCAATGTAAAAGTGTTTGCTGTCCCAACTTATTTAATATTTAATTCAATTGCAACCAATTATCTCCC